CTAATTGCTAGTAAGAAAAAAACAGCTGATGGCATGATGCTTAATGTAATTCACATTACCAAAATAATTGTTTGTGGTGCTTTTAGAGCTGCAATTGACAAAATAAACCTATTTAAATATATAATAAGATGGAAAATACTAGTTTTCTAAGAAAATTGCACTCACTCATTGGGAGTAAATATTGGCTTACTCTCCGAAATTTGGTTGCTGGCAAGTTACTATATATTTTTTGCTGGATAATACGAAAACACACAACTATAGCTAGTTCTAGGTCATGTAGGAGAATGCGAACTCCTCGATCAGGACTAAAACCTCAATCAATTTAAATCTAACTAAAAACAAGTAAAGAAGCATAAATAAGTTCGGGCGAAACCGAACTTTATATACCCGGCGTAGGTATCAAATATCGTCGTTTCAACTTTTCCTGAACTACCTTTGCATGATAAGTAGGGATGTTTACCCGATTTCAAATGTTTCCGATAATATGCAGAGTTAGACTTTATGATATAATTGAAACTAGGTAGGTACAAATCGATTAAGTGGTTACCGAGGTACACCTTTGTAATTATTAAGTGGGTCTTATTTATTGTTAGGAGATTGTTGTAGCTATTAACTTGGAGTAAATTAGCGTCCTCATTGAAATATCGGAGTTTTCTTATTTCTGAAATTCGCCGTTATACGGAAAGCGGGTGTAATTTTAGTCCGATTTGAATAATTTTCAACAAATTGCTTTTTCGTACCAAGGTTATTAAGTGCACCGAGTTCGGTAGAAATTGATAAATCGGTTACCGAGATACACATTTGCGGTCATAAGTGGGCGGTGCCACGCCCATTATCCAAACATTTATAATATTCTAATTGTATGCTAAGCGGTTATTGCATTAATTCATTTTAAGTGAATTAGCTCAATTAGTTCTGATTTATCGCAATTTTCGTTTGTCTGTATATTACCGTTATATGGCAGGTGGGCGTGGTTATTACCCGATTTCAAGGAATCACAGATATCTTAGCTAGACTCTACCCAAGCATCGTACCGAGTTTGGTAGGGATTGGTGAAGCGGCTAATGAGATACAGCATTTCATCATAAGTGGGGGGTGCCAGTCCCATTTTCCAAAAATTGCATAATAATATTATTTTTACCACAATTCTACTCCACGTACTATTGCAGTTTTTGCATTTTTCGATTTCGGCCATTTTAAATACCAACCTACCTTGAATAAAGGGCAATCTACATACCAAATTTCGTTGAGATATCGAAATTTTTGCTCGAGTTATCGTGTACACGGACGGACTCATAGCACTTATTTAACTTACATATAGAATCACAGCGCACGTTTCCAAGGCACTTAAAAAATGCGTATAATTTTCGTCACGAAATTGATATCATAAATTTCGTCACTCGAAAATCTTACCTCAAAGAGGTGTTTTATTTCATTATTCATTCACTCCTTAACTTTATAAACCATTAATGAGCAAAATACATACTTTGGCTTTGCGCCTAGAACCAAAAAATACGAATAAATCAAAAATGTACATACATGCTTATGTACATTTAACGATCACCTAGCTTTTTAATAGCCACAAACGAAATCACAATTTTGGCGTATACATTCATACACACATGTATGTGAAAAATAACATAACCTTCATTAAGTTTCTATTACTCTTTTAGAAATATTTCGATCTTACAAGTAAAAACGTCATAGTCTTCAGAATGAAGGGAGTCCATGTCGGCCGGATTTACAGTGTCTAGCAAAACTGTAACATGGCTCAACACTTTTTATTTCAGCCACCCCTATATTTCCAAGTTCTAACGACTTTCATATTTTTGTTGTATATTCTTGTTGGTACACCTGTACTCCCTCTCTCATAAAGATTTGAAGTCAATCCAACATAATAATAAAATCAGCAGGCAAAAATGTAAATTAAGGCCAATGTTACAGTTCCGCACTCACTCTCAGTTTTGAATTTTACAGTTATATTTTACTTAGTTGCGAGTTACATGCCTTTTTTCTGTATTGTATTTTAATGAAGAAGAGATCACCAGTAAACAACATGGTTAATCAGGAAACATATATGTAATAATAGATTTACTGCGGAAGGGCGGGGGGCCGCAGTAAAAGTGGCAAAAAATTGTGGAGTTTGCCAGATGAAAATGTTAAGAATAAGTAAAAATTTTGCCTAAGGTGTTCCTAAGGACAAAGGAAGTCTGACAAAAAATATTACGGTCGGATATCATGTGAACTTAGTCGCAAGTAGCGATGCAGCCGCTATTACAGGAGCGCTTAAGGTATCAAACTTTAATGCAAATCAGCGCAAAGGCAGCATAATAGAAAAAAAGCAACTTTCATCAAAATACATATGCGAGTGTGGCAGCATTTTGCTGCATCGCACGAAAGCCGGACCGCTGCCTATTGGCATATGTTATGCCTTTCAGAATGCAATAAAAAACACATTTTCAAATGAAGGTTATTTGGTCCGACAATATTAAATTAATCGCTTTCAATCAGATGGCCGGTCATGGTATTGGATCAAAGGCCCAAATGAAGCTAAGCGCATCATGTAAGGCAAACTGTGTATCACAGTGGTCGGTCAATAATAGTTTGGGGTTGTATTTCAAAAATTTTGTTGGTCCGCATTATGCGTAAGGAACAGTATCTGTTCAAAACATGATAGTTTCTGCCGAAAAATCGCCAAATTACTTTGTACATGCTCGAAAAGACTGGATACAAAAGCAAAAGTTTGCTAATTTGAAATGTCGCCTACGATCCGCGGTGAATCTCATCGAGAATTAGCGAAATCAACTAAAAGCACAGCTTACTAAGTATTCAAGCCCTCCAATGGAGTACATGAGATATGAAAGCAAACTGAGGATATATGGGAGGCTATACCTCCAGAATTTTTATAGAGATACACATTAGGTATGCCAAATCGCATCCAGGAGCTAAAAAAAAGCCAAAGGATAGTGAACATTGTGTTAATAATTTTTTTTCGTGAAAATTGTCAAAAAGTTATTATAAATATATGAGTGCAAAACTATAACATTTTCCATAGTTTACATTTTTGTCTTCTGGTTTGATTATTGTTGTTGGATTGACTTCAAAATGTTAAACTTCACAGTATTATTTCATTCTGTACTTAAGCAAATAATTTAAAACGTTTTTTAAAGACAATCCTTTATAAGTGGTTAACAAAAAAAAAAAGAAAAATCGACAGCTAAATGTTTGGTACAGTTATTTCTTATCATTTAAGTATTATAAGTTCTAAATATGAAACACATCGGACCATAAATACAGATTT